TGGCCAACAGAAAGACATAACAAGGGAGGAAGGGCCCACTGCACCTAATGAGGTGGTGAACAATGCTGCTGATATTGACTTCAATCAAGATGAGGCAATGGCTGACCTTGAGTTGGATGATATTGAGGACCAGGACTTCGGGAGTCAGGATGTCTGGTGCATCCGGGTCTCCCTCAGGGGCAATCAGCTTGGACACGAGATGAGGCAAAGCAGCAGCAAAAAACTGGAACTCCTCCTGCCTGTCCTCAAGGACGTCCGTACTAAGAGCACACTCACCCCCGACGGACGTAGGACAGACAGACTTAGACTCAGCAACAAGACTAGCAGCGTAGTCTAGACGACAGCGAGCAGCAAAGTTGACAAGCTCAGCAACTAGGGCAGACGCAGCAGTGGACTCAAAAGAAGGGTCAGTGACAACCGTAGCAAGGAGACGCGTGACAGAAGGACTGGCAGCACGAAGAGAGTCAGACTCTGGGTCAGCAAGAGTGGGAAGAGAGGACTCTGGAGGAGACGGCATCGGAACACGCAGAGGAGCAGTGGAAGGACGCAGTGCCATCTGGTGTGTGCTTGGGACCGCAGGAAGACGCGGACGCGCAGTACGACCACGAGTGCGAGCAGCACGAAGAGGCAACGCAGGACGAGGCGCAGGCTCACGACGCTCAACAAAACCTCCAGTAGGACTAGTATAGGGAGAAGGAGCAGGTAGGGGCGAGCCGGGCTGTTACTCTGACTGCGAGAGGACAGGCGGTGGACACGCTAAGGGAGGGGCAGGACCAATAGAAGGCGGAAGACCAAGAACCGGCTCAAGGAGCGGAACAAAGTACGGCCTCGGCCACGCAGCGCCTCCAGACCCAGCAGGGACAGCACCTGTACCTCTAGCGGCAGCACCAGCGCCAGCAGCACCTCCAGCTCCAACAGCGCCAATTCCAGCACCCTCAGATGTACCAGCGCCAGCGGCACCACCAGCACCAATACCACCAGCAGCTGCAGCTCCAGCAGCACCAACTCCAGCAGGACCGGTAGCTCCAGTACCGCCAGCAGCACCAGCAGCACCCCCAGTCCCAGCAGCTCCTGAACCGCCAGAACGAGCCCCTTCGGGACCAGCAGCAACAGTAGTACCTCCAGCTCCGGCAGCACGGCTCCAGCGCCGGGCAAACCACTCGCGCAGCTCTTGCGGAGAGAGTTGCTCCTGCCTTGAAGAATCACCGCGCGAGGGCACACGAGCAGACCCAGCACCCCCAAGCTCAGCACCCCCAGACTCAGCACCCCCAGGCTCAGCACCTCTAGACCCGGCACCCGCAGGCTCAGCACCTCTAGCAGCACCAGAGTCAACAGCTACCTCGACAGGCTCGACTGCATTTACCTGGGACGCACCTGACGGGGCAGGACCCTCAGGGGGGAGGGGGTCTACCGAGCGAGGACCTGGCGCAAGGAAGAGCGGCGGCGGGGGGAGGGGCGCAGTGCGGTAGGGGAAGAGACGGTAGTAAGGCACAGACTCGTCAAAGGTGACGTATTGGGAGGACAGAACTCGGCGCGAGGTGGGGTGGTGAAACTGCCAACCAGGTGCGTCACAGGGGAAGCCAAGGAAGACGCAGGGAACAGCACGGGGGGGCAGCTTGTCCGCAAACAAGTCGCGAATAAACGCCTGAGATCCCCAGACCTGAAACGCAGACGCATCGCCAACCTTCGCCGTCCACCGCAAGGTGTGGGAGGTCTCTGGCAAGGAGACCCGGGGCTGGAGGTTGAGCTGATGCGCTGCGTACTGAACTGCAAACGGCCACTGAAAATGGGGGGCAGCCGCATGGATCATGGACGTACGAGCGACGTCCATAACCATGTCAATGCGGCGCTCAGCAATCCCATTTTGCTGCGGAGAGGCCGGAAGCGTGAAGGTCTGGCGAATGCCCTGTGCTTGACAGAAGGCTCCCAGACTGGCAGAGGAAAACTCCCCGCCTCTGTTAGAGTGCAGACGCAGAACAGGAAAGTCCGAGCCGAAACTCTCTCTGAGCTGGAGACGAGCTGCGCGGATCCAGTCGATCAACACCTCAGTGACGTTGCCCTTGCTGCACAAAGGGAAGAGTGTGGTGTAACGCGAGTAGTCGTCAACCACCTACAGGAAGTAACGCTTGTGCCCCTGTCCACGGACGCGGGCGGGGCCCCACACGTCCATGTGAAGAGTCTGCAGCGGAGCCTCTGTCGGAGGAAACTCGAAGGAGTGAGGGGCGGCGCGCTGTCGCCCCTCGACGCAGGGGACGCAAGTAGGGGCGGGCCCCGGAGGTAGGGGAGGGAGAGACCGGGGGAGACCAGAGACAAGGACACAGGAGGCCATGCCTTGGAGCCGAGGCAGGGAGGGGTGACCAAGGCGGTGGTGCCAAAGGAGAGTCTGGTGGGACAGGAGACGGCACGAGCAGGGAGCAGACTCAGGACAAGACCTGGACGCTGCAGCAAACACCTGACTTGACGTAGCTACTTTACCAGACGCAGCAGCCGGAGGAGACTCAGTAGTAAGTGCGTACAGGCTCGACCCTGGCTGACGGGTGAACGTGGCCAAGTGCCGGCCTGTCCGAGCACACATGCAGTGGGTCACCTGCTGACTCGCAGGAGTGAACTGGTCAACCCCCCTATCTTGTAGGTCCGCTCCACTCACCAAGTTCGTAGAGAACGAGGGGAGGTAGAGACCTGACAGGGTGCTAGAGGGGGCTGCCGGGCACGGTAAGACAGTGGAGAAGCTAGCAAGGACAGGACCCCCAGAGGGGTCCGCAAGGGAGACCGCAACCGGCCGACTAAGCAGCGTAAGCGTGGTGCGGTCGCGAAAGAAGGAGCGGGAAGCACCCGAGTCAAGGGTGAAGGTGTGTAAGGCCTGAGCCGACGTAGTACCTGAGAGAGCAGACTCACCAGCACTTGGGGCAGCAGACGCACTAGCACCTGAGGCAGCAGACGCACTAGCACCTAGAGCAGAAGCCTCTCCAGCACCTAGAGCAGCAGCCTCAATGCCCGGGTCAGGCGGAACACACAGGTAACAGTCACCCTCAACACTAACAGTCACAGCATACATGGCAGCAAGAATAGCATCATAGTCAGGATCAAAGATGGCAACCCCCGCCCTTGATAGATCTCCCCAGCGAGGGATCTCTGACGCCTCAGGGAACTGGTGACGCTACGCGTCTGTCAGGCGGCCGAAGCAGCGCTGGGTGGAGTGTGGGCCCCCACACTGCTCACCAGTGCGGTCGCCGGTACGGAGGACGTAGGTGCAGGGACCTGTACCTCCGCCGCGTTGACGCGCAGCGTACCACTCACGAAGCTGCTGAGGGAACAGGGTCTCACCACATGTGCTTACCAACCCTACGTGCCTGAATGCAGAGGCGTGCATGGTACGCAACTGCGGCACCAACGCGAGGTGCCTGACAAGCCAGGCAGGCTGGGCAAACTGCGTGTGCAACAGGGGCTTTAAGCTGCTGCCCGATGCATCATGCGCTCGTGAGTGACTCCACCCATCCTGTTTGCTTCCCATATCCGCTGCTGCTCAAACCCGGTGTTGTCATGATACAGTGGTGTCGTCGTTGCTATTGCTGCCTCTCGCTCAAGCCTTCTTGGTAAATCCCGGGCCTGTCAGCATGCTGGGCACTCCAAGAGTCCTTTTATCACTCTCCGTCTGCTTACTCTGCTGTCCGCCCTCTCGTGCTAAACTTGGTAGAGCTGTGTACCGTCGAGGATTGGGGGGAGAATGGCTACTGTGAAGAGGACCAAGGACTCTCCTCCTGTCATTGCAACATTGAATTTGACAAGACTGCGGACGGCTGTGTTGGTCAGTGCTGCTTATTCGTGTTGTACTGATAAGTTGCGCTGTAATTTGTTCCTTATGGTGTTGCTGGATTCTAATGTTTGGTGTCCCCTTTGACTCTTTCCTTACTAGATAGGTGTGTGCTCCAGGCGTGTGGTGAAAATGCCATGTGTGTTAAGGTCGCGGAGGGGATGGCATTGTGTGTTTGTGACCCTGGCTTCGGGCTGGATAAAGATGGCAGGACATGCACAGGTAGCTGTGTGCTGCTGTGTGCTGCTGCTGATGTGCTGTGTGCTGCTGTGTGCTGCTGCTGATGTGGTGTGTGCTGCTGCTAATGTGCTGTGTGCTGCTGTGTGCTGCTGCTGATGTGCTGTGTGCTGCTGCTAATGTGCTGTGTGCTGCTGCTGATGTGCTGTGTGCTGCTGCTGATGTGCTGTGTGCTGCTGTGTGCTGCTGCTGATGTGCTATGTGCTGTTGCTGATGTGCTGTGTGCTGCTGTGTGCTGCTGCTGATGTGCTGTGTGCTGCTGCTGATGTGCTGTGTGTTACTGCTGCTATGTGTGCTTCGAATGTGGTACAGCTTGTCATGCAAGATGCCCTTTGCATTTACTGTTGTTTCTGCTGTTTTTCTGTTCCTTTCGTGCCTCCCTCCCCTGGCAGACACATGTGTGCTCCTAGAGTGTGGTGAAAATGGCCAGTGCATCATGGCCGGGGATGGGGTGGCTGTCAGAATCCCAACCACTAGACCATTGGGATAAAAGGGCTTGTTAAGTAGCGGGTCAGTGCGCCCATAACGCCCCAGGACAACGAGCCTGTAACCCTTCCCTAGGATCAATCGGGGATCACCAGTGGACCTCTGACACCCCCCCGCACTGGGATGCCCGAAGTGCACACACCAGGATTCAAACCCGAGACCTTCGCTCTGATACCATGTCAGAATCCCAACCACTAGACCATTGGGATAAAAGGGCTTGTTAAGTAGCGGATCAGTGCGCCTATAACCCCTCAGGACAACGAGCCTGTAACCCTTCCCTAGGATCAATCGGGGATCACTAGTGGACCTCTGACAGTGGCCTCCTGTGTTTGTGACCCTCACTTCACGGTGCGGGATGATTGCAAGTCGTGCGCGGGTAAGGCGGCTGTTTGCGGCTACGCTTCTGTTATTTGCTGCTATGAGAACTATGTTAAATTTTGTGCTGATTTTAGTGTGGCTTGCGCCGATGGCAGGTGCTGCTGGATCAACATTTATGGCTGCATCTCTCCCTTCTCTCTCCCGCTCTCTCTCCCTGCGTCCAGTCATTTCTCTCAGGGCCCAAATTTATGGATGTATACCTGCCACCTGCTGCTAGCAACTGCCACTGCCCAGTGGGCCAAGAGAAGGACATAGAGAGCAACTATCTGGCACGCTTTCATGTTTACCACATTGCAAGTATTTCAAGTATTCCTGCCCCCCATCATCGTTTTTTTAGACACTCCGCCCAACGGGCCAACTGCTGATGTTCATCTGCCACCTGCTTCTAGCAACCGCAACTGCCCTGCGGGCCAAGAGAAGGACGCAGGCGGCAATTGCGTTGGTGGGTGCTGTCGGAAAGAAAGACTGCAGCATTGCTCCACTGTAGCCTTGTGGCCAGCTCCAATCCGCATTACAGCTACTACATTCACCGTTATGGTTTCTGGCCAATAGTGCTGCACAATTGAAGGTGTGCTCTATGCTGCCCGGATGCACTCCTGCTTCCCAAATGCACTATATGCTTCAGCCCCCCACGTGCTCTCTGCCCCAAACTGTGCCTAATTCTGACCCCCAGGTGCCTGTGTCTGCCTCCACGTGCCTGTGTCCGCCCCCACGTGCCTGTGTCTGCCCCCACGTGCCTGTGTCTGCCCCCACGTGCCTGTTTCTGCCCCCACGTGCTTGAGTGCAAACTCGTGCGTGGTATGCAACTGCGGCCCCAATGCGAAGTGCCTAAAGAGTGAGGGAGGCTGGGCAAACTGTGTGTGCGAAAGGGGTCTCAAGCTGCTGCCCAATGCGTCCTCCACGCGTGAGTTAACTGTGCCCACCCTTGTTGCTTCCCATACCCGCTGCTGCCCAATCCGTCCTGCACGCATGAGTTAGACTGTGCCCCCGTCATCCATCCTTATTGCTTCCCTTCCTCAAGGGATATCCACTGCTGCATGATGCGTCTTGAGCATGACACCTCCTGTCCAAGGCATAACACATCTGCCATTGCTGCTTCCTTCCTATTATGACCTTCCCAGTCACAACCAAAGTCTTCTCGGGCATGCTGTGCAGGCAGGGCACTCTCCTATCCTCACTCCAGCATTGTTGCTCCCCGTTCCACATCTGTGTTCTTTCGTGCTGTGAACCCGACAGACTCGTGCTCCATAATGGACTGTGGGGAGAATGCGTACTGTGAGAAGGAGCAGGAGCTCGCTGTCTGTCACTGCAATTGGGGCTACACCATGATCGAAAACAGCTACGTTGGTCAGTGCTGCAATGAGTGACATAATGAGAGGATGCCAGATAGTTGAATGCCATATCTGCTGAGAGGATGCTTTTTATGTGATGTAGAATGGTGGCATAATGTAAGCAGGCAGGGCTATTGTGTGCTACCACAATTGCGTGCTGTACTGATAGTGTGCTCTGCGCTTGCTGCTCCATTTGTTTTTTTATTTTTTCTTTTCCCTCAACTCTTCCCTTCCCCCCAGATACTTGTATTCTCTAGACGTGTGAGGTGCTTACGTCGGATTGTAGGAAGTATGACAATGGCTCTGCATACTGTCAATGCAAGCCGGGCTACACACTGCTCTACGGCGAATGCGTTGGTATGTAACGTTATCTCCTAATCTTGATACCGTTGGATTATAACCTCACCTTCCTCCCAACCCCCCTCCTCACACCCACCCCACTCCCCTTCCCCCCACCTCTCCTCCCCCCCTCCCCCCCCCCCCCCCCCCCTCTCCCGCCTCTTCCCCTCTCACTCCTTCCTCTCTCCCTCTGCACTATTTTGTCCCCATGCAATGCTATAATTGCCTGTTTGTTCTATTCCTGCCCAACTATTCCTGTGCCCATTGTCCTTCTCTAGCACACGTTGCATTGTGCTGAATTGTGCTGTCCTAGATGTGCTTCCCTGCTGTCGTGTCATCTGTTCTCCCCTTCTAATCCATCTGCTCTCCTGTCACACTAACATATCCCCTCTGTTTTCTAATCTGTCCTCACCAGGACCTGCCACATACGGGAGCTGTCCGACCTTGGCCACTTGCACTCGTGTCTCGGCTACCATCAAGGCTCCCTACTGCCCTCCCGGCTATGGCATGACCAGCACTAGTTGCGTCCAGGGTGAGACCACGATATTTGCATTCAATGATGACCAGTGGTACTGATGTTAGTTGATGATATTGAAGCTGGAGTCCTGACCAGTTGTGCTTGCATCATAGGTCAGTGAATGCTGCTTACATCGTTGTCAAACCACAAATTCCATAACAAACCCCATGCCCCAATTTTCCAATCTCCCACATTCTGTGTTTGTTCAGGAGCCTTGCCAACAGTCTCCTCCTCAAGTTTCACCTTCTATGACAAACCCTTTTACGGCTTATCACCCAACACCTACACCACACACATGGACTACAACGCATGCACGAACGTGCCCCTGAAGTACAGTTCATACTGGCGCGTGGACCATGCACCCGGAGGAGCTGGTGATTGCTTGAAAATCTCCACGTATACTCTTCATGACTGCATTGGACTTATGACTGTGCTCTATGACCTGCCCTTGAACAGCATCGAGGCACTGGGTGTCGGGTAAGTAATGCCCGCAAGCTAATGTATATATATATACATACATATAACTGTGTATTGTTGCCCTGTTTCAAAGTCGAGCTTACTTTATCCCGTGCAAACCCAGTTCTCAAGTTTATTTCCATTTCCATGCATCTTCCTGCTTCTTTGTGTTCCACCGAACCTATCCACAACAGCTAAATATGTATCCTTCAAGTGTCATAGCTATGTATAGACTTGTGGAGAAAGAAGACCAGCAGTTCGAAATGATGCTCTCGCTCTCTTCGTCGCTCTGTCCCGTCGCCCTCTCTCCCATCGCCCTCGCTCTCTTCTTCGCTCTGTCCCGTCGCCCTCTCTCCCATCACCCTCACTCTCTTCTTTGCTCTTTCCCGTCGCCCTCTCTCCCGTCGCACCCTCTCTCTCATGTCACCCTCGCTCTCTCATGTCGTCCTCGCTCTCTTACGTCGCCCTCGCTCTCTCACGTCACAATTTGGCCCTCATGATCTCCCCTACCTTCTCGTCTTCTTGTTGTTCTCCCATCCCCTTTCTTCGCCCTCTGTGTCTCCGCTCCCCTCCCGTCTTTCTTCCTCTCTCCGCTCCCCTAACGTCGCTCTTCCCATCTCCACTTCCATTCCCGTCGTTGTTCCTCTCGCCCTTGATCTTTCCCGTCGTTATTCCCCACTACCGTCCCCTCCCCTCCCCTTGTTAATATTGTCAGAATCTAGAAGAAAGAAGAGGACTGCACTAGCAAGAATCGGGATACAAATAGGAAACCCTAGAAGGGTTGTACTCGTTATAGAGCACCCCACTACAGGCTACAGCATAAGATAACATTCTGACACACCCCCATAGCCAAAGTGGGGTGTAATCACCAGAGCAAGCAAAACATTACAAGCTCAGGGTGGATCACAATGTCACCACACATTCTGAGCACAAGTTCAAGAAGCAATAGTTTAAAGTTAACAATTATGAGCAAAGCTAGTGGTAGTTACAACGGGCAAGTGAGGAGGAGGAGAGAGAGTGAGAGGAGAGGAGATAGGAGGCGACGGATGAAGCTGCAGACACACGGGCAACAAGAGGCACACTGGCACAGCGGCTACCGGAACAACGCTCCGGAATACTGGAGTAACTGGCCCAGCGGCTAAAGTAGCGGCAGACGAGCAACGGACCCACGGGCGGCTGGCACAGCTGGCTACGACTGGGCTACTGGACGAAGTCCCCCTGAATACAGGTGCTGCTGGCGACACGACGGCAACCTCCATTCAGCTTCCCCAAACTATCCCACTCCCCCTGACACACACCCGCTGCTACACCCCTAGCTCCACTCCCACCCCACCCCCTAGCACCACTCCGTCGAATCCCACACACCCACCCCCCTCAGCGGCAGCTGCAGCAGTGGGAGACAGAGGAGGAGGAGGAGCAGGGGAGACTACACACCCGCCACCTCCCGCGGCCCCCTCAGGTCGCCTCGACAGGCTACGGGAAAAAAGGGGGGGGGGGGGGGGGAGGGCGGTGCCGTAGGTAGGGCGACGGAGCCGGGCCGTAGGTAGGGCGACGGGACGGCGGGGCCGCAGGTAGGGCGGCGGGGCCCGGGCCAGGGCCGCACGTAGGGTCGCCCGAGCCGCGCGCAGGCGGCCCGAGCCGCGCGCGGGCCTGGTGCCGCCCGTACGGGTCGCGCGTAGGCCTGGCGCGGCCCGGACGGGTCTGACGCGGCCCGTACGTGCCGCGCGCAGGTTGTACGGGCCGCGCGCAGGCCACGACGGGCGACGGGGGGCGACGCGGAGGTCCCCGTCGCCCGTCGCAGCGCCTCCCAGGAGCGGCGCGCGGCGTGACGGGGCAGTAACCCGCCGCGCGCCTCGGGGCGCACGGCGGGATGAAAAACTGCCGCACGCCACGGGGCGTGCGGCACAGAGAGTAGTGATAGCAGTAGCGGTAGGAGTTGCAGCGGAAGCAACGAGGTGGTAAATCCACCCACAGGATCGATCCAAGGGGATCGACCTGCTCTGATAGCATGTCAGAATCTAGAAGAAAGAAGAGGACTGCACTAGCAAGAATGGGGATACAAATAGGAAACCCTAGAAAGGTTGTACTCGCTATAGAGCACCCCACTACAGGCTAGAGCATAAGATAACATTCTGACAAATATTATTCTAAAAGAGCAGGCCGCAGGTCCTTCGCTGCACTGGTCTCACAGGTCGACTAGCCCTGGATCACCTAAACGTTCTCGTTGCACGTGTGTGGGTGGTCGGGACTGCTTGTGTCGTTGCGTCACGCGAAGTTGGTGAAGGAACTACTACTCTCTTTTCTAGTGAATGTACCAGAAGCTTTGCACGTCGTGCAGCCTTGCGCCAAAATCGCACATGTATGTGCGCGAAAGTTTGTCACCAATCAGAGTTCATAAATATGATCCAATCGTTCCCCCTTCACTTTTAGGCAAACTCTGGTGTTGAAAGAAAATCTCACACGTAACTTCCAACTTTCCCAAAACTTCCGTTTTCAAGTTGGACCCAACTAGAAGGGGGGGGGGTCACTATTTTTGCTGCTAGCTTTAAGAACATAGGAGAGTATTTGATAAACATGTTTTACACTTACATTATCAGATTGTACTGTATTACCTACTTTCATGGTTGTCTTGGATATGACTAGAAGTATTTGTGTGGGTATACAAAAGGAACCTCTTTCCTGAGGTTTGAACAAGGCATATTGTAAGGAAATTTTATGACCTTGTTATGCACCTGCCTATGTACAACAGTAGACCACTCTTCGCCCATTACTGTTTGCCACTACTTTGTCCGCTATTTTTACGAAACCTTGCATTGCTGTACTGAACTGAGTCGGCCTACGCTTTGGAACTAGCTTGAGTCTCGTTGACAGCATTGCATAAGGTAGCCCGCATCACCTTATTGTCAAATAATATGTATGCTACATATGTCTAGGCTGTAGTGGGGTAGCCAATATGGGGTATAGCCCCTCTAAGGTTTCACATTTGTACCCAACTCTGTTCTAGTCCATCTCATTCTTGCCTGTAGTTTCTGACATGGTTTCAGAGCAGTAGGTCCGTAGGACCGTTTTATTTTTCGGGCCCACTTACCGTTGTGGTTACTGAGCTGCCCCACGTGTAGCCTGCGCTGCGCTGCCCGCACGCGCCTTGCCTTACCTACGCCTTGCCTTGTGTAGCATGCGCTGCGCTGCCCGCGCGCGCCTTGCCTTGCCTGCGCCTTGCCTTGCCTTGCCTGCGCTGCGCTGCCCGCGCGCGCCTTGCCTTGCCTGCGCTGCGCTGCCCGCGCGCGCCTTGCCTTGCCTGCGCTGCGCTGCCCGCGCGCGCCTTGCCTTGCTTGCGCTGCGCTGCACGCACGCGCAAACTCTAATTCTGTGCGCAGCTCGCTGCTGCCCCGCGCGTCGGGTCCGCCACCCTTGCGCAGCCCGCTGCTGCCCCGCGCGCCACGTCAGCAGCTCGTGCAGCCCGTAGCAGCCCCGCGCGCCGCGGCTGCTGCCCTCACGCAGCCCGCAGCTGCCTCGCGCGCCGCGTCTGCCGCCCGCGCATCCCGCAGCAGCCCCGCGCGCCGCGGCTGCCGCCCTCGCGCAGCCCGCGGCTGCCTTGCACGCCGCGTCCGCCGCCCGCGCAGCCTGCGGCTGCCCCGCGCGCCGCGTCTGCCGCCCGCGCGGCCTGCAGCGGCCCCGCGCGCCGCGTCCGCCGCCTTCGCGCAGCCCAGCGCTGCCACGCGCGGAGCCTCAGCCGCCCGCGCGCCGCTACTGCACCCTGCGCGCGCCTCGCGGCTGCCCTGCCCCTGTGCCCTGCCCTGCCTACGCGCGGCTCGCTGCCGCGTCGCCCGGCCTGCGCGCCACCGTGCACCCTACCCTACCCGCGCGCCCTACTTCCCGCAGCATGCCGCCTTCCTCTGGCGGACCGTCGCCTTTTCCTGCCCGTGCGCCGCCCCTGCATACCCTAGTACCTGGTATGACTTCTCTTCGCGATACCGGCGGTGGGAGTGGTGGCGGCGGTGGAGGCAGCAGTCGGGGTGGTGGCAGTAGTGGAGACAGCGGTGTGAGTGGTGGCGGCCGTCGTCGCAGTCACGGTGCAGCTCCTCCGTTGGGAGTCTCTGGAGGTGGCCTAGTGCAGCTGCAATGGCGTCCGCGTGAGCCCCTTACACCTCAGGAGCTTCGTGAGTGGTTTGCTCAGCGTTGGGCGTCTCAGCATAGTGGCCGTTGTGGCAGCCGCGGTGCAGCTCCTCCGTTGGGAGTTTCTGGAGGTCGCCTACATCACAATTGTTGGCCTCGCGGAATAGATGTTGAAAATGTGCTACTTGCAACTTCCGAGCTTTGCATGTCGCGCATCACTCGCTTTTCAGTCTCAACAGGTTTAGGTTTTCAAGTTTCCTTCCCAACGCCAGTTGCGAGAGGATTGGACGAGTGACACAGGCAACTTCCGTAGGTTGGGAAAGTTGCTCTGGTGGCGGCTCAGGTTAAGAAACACCTCGACATTGTTGATACAGTAAATGTTATGTTCTTGAGCTGATTACAAAATCGACTATGTACAGTTTAATGTGAACCTCGATACTGTGTATGGATTGCGTTCCTCGCTTAGGGCTGTTCAACCTTCTGCGCATTCCGCACAATGTAACGAAATGCATTTCGGATTCGTTAAGGCACTCAACTCTCAATGGTGTATGGATGCCATTCGTCAGGCCAGGACCATGTCAGTTTGGATGCTGGGCGTGGTTTGGCGCGAAAATTGGAAACTCAATTTGGCAATCACATAGGAGCATTAGCTCAATTCACTCCCTCCCGACTAGTTTATCATGCTGCTGTGAGAAATACGCGGCTCGGAATTTAGCTTACTTAACAACCGCTTTCCTAGATTTAAAAACGTTGGTTCTATAGTTGTGCCCTTCATCTTATCATTTGCACTTGCCCGCTACGAGGAGCCGACCACCAATAGGACAAACGGCAGTGTGTTTTAGCACAAATAGATGTTTAGATAAGCACGCGCGCGCTTGGAGCACATGAGCGCGTAGGTGTGCTTGCAGCATCCGCAGGTAGTATCGGTGCGCGCTAGAAGCTTATGAGCGGGTGGGCAGCAGCACATCGCAGCAGCAGGAGCAGAGGCAGCGGCATGTGTGCGTGAGACACCGCAGCGTGCTTGAAGCAGCAGCGCGCAGCAACCTGTTTACATTAGCAGGTGCATTCGCAGCATCGTCTGCAGCAGCAGCAGGGCGCTGCAGCAGGGGCGTTAAGAGAAGCGGCAGCAGGACGTGCGCGTAGAGCAGGCAGCGGCGAGCAGCAGCTGAGATCGCATCAACACGTGCTTTCGCAGCATTCGCAGTAGCAGCAACGCACATCTACAGGAGCAATAGGAGCAGCGGCAGCGATATGTGCGCGTAAAGCACCGGAGCGCGCTAGCAGCAGCGGCGCGCAGCAGGTGGGATCGCATCAGCAGGTGCATTCGCAGCATCAGCAGTAGCAACAACGCGCATCTGCAAGGGCGTTAGGAGCAGCGGCAGCGGGATGTGCGCGTAAGGCACCGGAGCGCGCTAGCAGCAGCGGCGCGCAGCAGGTGGGATCGCATCAGCAGGTGCATTCGCAGCATCAGCAGTAGCAGCAACGCGCATCTGCAGGGGCGTTAGGAGCAGCGGCAGCGGGATGTGCGCGTAAAGCACCGGAGCGCGCTAGCAGCAGCGGCGTGCAGCAGGTGGGATCGCATCAGCAGGTGCATTCGCAGCATCAGCAGTAGCAGCAACGCGCATCTGCAGGGGCGTTTGGAGCAGCGGCAGCGGCATGTGCGCGAAAAACACCGGAGCGCGCTAGAAGCAGCGGCTCGCAGCAGGTGGGATCGCACCAGCAGGTGCATTCGCAGCATCAGCAGTAGCAGCAACGGGCAGCAGCAGAGGCGATAGGAGCCGCGGCAGTAGCAGGTGCTTCCGAAGTCTTCGGGCCTAGCGTTAGCAGCTGCGTATAGCAGCAGCAGATGTGTTCGTTGCATCGGCATCAGCAACACATAGCAGCAGCAGATGTGTTCGGTGCATCAAGATCAGCAACGCATAGCAGCAGCAGATGTGTTCGATGCATCAACATCAGCAGCGCATAGCAGCAGCAGATGTGTTCGATGCACAGCCATCAGCAGCGCATAGCAGCAGCAGCAGCTTTGGCATGTACGCGTGTTGCATCAGGTGCACATTAGCAGCATGTGCGTTCGGCATTTGGGCGTGAAGGATCAGAGCACGTTGCATGAACAGCAGGAACAGGTTCGTTTGCAGGGTTGACAGCATCAGGTGCTTTCGCAGCATTGGCAGCTGCAGCAAGTGCGCAGCGGCGGCAGTAGCAGCAGCATGAGTTCGCAGCAGCAGGCACGCTTGCATCAGCAAAGCGGTGGCAGCAGGCCGCAGTGGCGCGGTGCACATCACAAAAATCCTGCGTCCAGAAAACCTTTGGAAAGAGTTGCTTTAAAGCTTTGTTGTATGATTTATAAACGTCTTGTTTGGTACGATATTTTGAGAAAGTATATACCTTCTTCTGGATGCTTTGTCGAACGCTGTTCGCATGCTTCTGCGATGCTTGTGTGTTCAAACCTCTCAGGTGAAAACCTTCGGCAGAAGTTTGGTTGGAGTTTCCGCAGAGCAATTTCGGAGATTGGATCTCATTGCATTGTACTCTTCAAGGACATCCGGTTTAGTTATAATGAAGTTGGATTGGAGACTTGCAATGGTTAACATGTTGTTTAACAAGATGTTTAGTTGCCTCATCCTAGCATCCAAAATGACCATTACTGAAGCGTTGGTAAATGGGTTTTATTCTCAACAAAAAAGGCACATACAAGAGCATCCTACACCCCACCCTCTCTAGTCAAAGACCCCCGCCTCTTAGGGTGATCTGCATCAACCTGCTTCTCATGCTCCCGTACACTATGCCTCCCACTACACCCCATGTCTCGTACTCTAGGCCGAGCATGCTCGCCCCTACACCTAGCCCCCATGATCCATGCCTTGGCTGCGACCCCACTTCCTGCCTCTCTTCCTGCATCTCCCATCCCTCCTTCACTAATTGTGGTACTATTGCCCTGCCCGTGCGTCCACTGCTTCCTCGCATGTCCAGCCCTGTCATGCGTCTGCTGCTCCGCCTTAGACATCCTCCACTCAAGCCTTTACTGCTGTTTGCTTCATCACAAAAATCCTGCATCCGGAAAACCGATGAAAAAAGTTGCTTTGGAGTTTTGTCGAATGATTCATGAACGACGTTTTTCGAACGCTTTTATGAGAAAGTATAGGTTGCTTTCCAAATGCTTTCTCGAACGCTTTTCAAATGCTTCTCCAATGCTTTTCTGTTCAAACCTGCCAGGTGAACACCTTCGGAAGAAGTTTGGTACAAGTTTCCGCAGAGCAATTTCGAAGATCGGATCTCATTGCAATGTACTCTTTATGGGATTTCGGGTTCATTAAAATAAGTTTATGTAGGAGACTTGCACGACCTTATATGTAATTTAAAACTATGTTAAGTTGCCTCAATCTTGCATTCCAAATGAACAATACAGAAGCTTTGGTAAAAGCTGATAATTCCACCCTAAAAACGCACATAAAACAGCATCCTAAACCCTCTGTGCCTAGTCAGTTAGGTTGAGCTGCATCATCCTACGACCTGCTTAGCATGCTCCAGTACACTATGTCTTCCACCGAACCCCATCTCTGGTGCTCTAGGTTGACCTTGCCCCTGCGTCCACTGCTTCATTGCATGCTCTGCCCTCTCATGCGTCTGCTGCTCCGCCCCTGGCGCTCCCCAGTCATGCCTTTACTGCTGCTTGCTCCAGTCATGCCTAACCTGCTGCCCCCCCTGTGCTCTCCCCTCTATCTGCTCGTGCCTTTTCTGCTGCCCCCCCAACTCTCTCAACTCATGCCTTTTCTGCTGCACCCTCTTGCACTATCTGGTTGCCTTGCTGGTTGCCCACCCTTGGACACTCCTCACATTGTCTCTACTGCTGCCCCCCTTGCTGACTCCACGCTTTTGCCGCCCGTGCTACTCCCCATGCTGACTCTACTTTCTTGCCTGGCGTGCTGCCCCCCTAGCTGTCTCCACCAATGCCTCTACCTCCGTTTTGATGTCTCCTCGCAAGTGTGTGATGCCTATCCTGCTGCCCCCCCTTGTAAACTCCACTCATGCCTCATCTGCTGCCCCCCTTGTTTAGTCGCCCCATCGCTTGACCCTCTTGCCTCCCCGGCGTTTGCCACTCTTGTGTCTTTTGCCCCTCCTTCGCTCCTGGCCCCCCCCCTTCTCATCCTCATCCTCATCCTCTTCCTCCTCTTCCACTTCTTCCTCCTCTACCTCTTCCCTCCTGCTTCCCTTGCCTCCGCCTCTTTTGTGCTTTCTGCCCTTCCTCCTCTCCTGCCCCCTATGATTTTCATCCGCCTGCTCCCCCTCCTCCTCCTCCTCATCCTCTTCCTCTTCCCCCTTGCTTCCTTTGATTTTCCCTCTCTTCTGCCTTCTGCCCTTCCTAAGCTCCCGCCCCCCCCGTTCCACATCCTCCTCCTCCTCTTCCTCATCCTCATCCTCTTGCTCATCCCTCTTGCCTCCCCTGCTTTTGCATCTCTTGTGCCTTTTGCTCTTCCTCCGCTCCTGCCCCCACTGTTCCTCCTCCTCCTCCTCCTCATCCTCCTCCTCCTCCTCCTCCTCCTCCTCCTCCTCCTCCTCCTCCTCCTCCTCCTCCTCCTCCTCCTCCTCCTGATCCTCGTCATCCTCCTCGTCATCCGTCTTCAAGTCCTCCGCGTCGTACACCTCCTGCTCTTCCTCCTTCAAGTCCTTCTTCTCCTCGTCAGGCACGGCCTTCCCCTTGAACGCCTCAAATCCTGACTCGTGAACATACAGGCCACGGTCGCCCCACTTGAAGCCCTGCACGACTGTGTTGTACACGGGGGTGTGGCGTGTGAAGTGGTCCTTGATAATCCACCGCACATTTTGGTGCAAACCCGTCATCCACTCGGTGTTCTTGCGGTGGGAGTTTGAGACGTTCCAGTCGGTCTTCTTAACCTTTGCCAAGCCGTGGTCAATCTGAAAAAGCGTAGCAAAGTATGGGAAAGAGGGGAAATAGAGACATATGTGGACACTGACGGAGTAGAGTTCACGGGCTGCGCAAATAGCCCCACATTCCAGTCTGGCGGGCAAGAATTGCAAGCAAAGCTAGAGCGAACTGACGGGAGAGCAATAATGCCTTACCACCATGATTGACCAGGCAATGTGGTAGGCTTTGACGCACACCCGGCGCCCGACACAGAGATTCCGAAATGCTTCCCGGACCGCATCTACAAACCGGCCGTTGGCAAACGGGAGCCCGTCTCTGCTGTTTCCCCACGAGCTGACCCGCTGATTCCCTCCTGCGCGCACGCAGGACAAGGCGGGGACGAAGATCATGCACGACATGGTTAGGGGTTGTCCAAAGGGTATGGACGAAGTGGAGGGCGGTATAGAATGAATGGAGGGTTGGCTGGAGGGCAGTAGAGCAGGGAAGGGCGGGAGAGAAGGGGAGGGCAGGGGAGAGGGGGAGGGCAGGAGAGACATGGAGGGCGGGAGAGAAGGGGAGGGCTGAAGAGAAATGGAGGGAGGGAGAGAACGGGATGGCGGGAGGGAAGGGGAGAGCTGTAGATTAAAGGGGGGGCGGGAGAAGGGGAGAGTGGGAGAAGAACCAACGTTAAGCTGTCATGCGGATGTGACTGCACATGCGCTACAAGCCTGGGCAAGGAGAGCAGGTATGTAGTTGCGTGCCACAGTGGGGATGCATTAGGGTAAGTTGTTCATCATCGTCACGAGGGGTGCACGAGCAGATGAAATCAATGGTGAAGTAAAACAGAAACGCGCGTTCTCACTCGGTTGGTATTTTCTCCACATCTTCTTCTTCTTCTTGGTGCCCATCCAGAGATCGGCTGCACGCAGGCCTTGCACATTCTTGCCGAAAGTTACAAGCACTCTGCGCTTGAGGTGGAAGCCACGATCGTTCTTCCATGATGTCCAAGCGCGTTTGAAGCCGTCGACGATGTTTTTGTCTTCCATAGCCTCTCGCAGCTGCATCAGCTTAATTATGTGCGTCTCGCTGATAACCTGATACAAAACCTGAAGGCGCTGTTCGAGCGTTGGGTAGAAGTCTATGGCATCATCTGGCTATTCTAGGCACATCCGGTCCCGCCCCACGGCGAAATGAACCTATGACGGACGGGTGGATTGGAAACGTAAAATTGAGTGATGCCTCCGAATGAAGGGCGGAATTCAGAGGTTGAGAGAGAGGGCTGTTGCCATCACTGCGCCGCATGGCTCCCATACCAACAACAGCACCATGAACATGGGCTCTGGAAGAGGTGGGGGAGGGATGGGAGAGAGGGTGCAGGGAGAGGAAGGATAGCTGCTATGGTGAGCTATCACTCCGCCGCATGACACCCACCCCACCACCAGCACCATGAACAGGAGCTCTGGTTGAGGTAGGGGAGCGATGGTCGAGTGAGAGGGGAGAGAGAGGGGATAAAATAGTCAGAGCGAAAGACGGGAGAGTAGGCAGAGTGAGAGGGCACCGTACGCCCAGCGCGAGGGTCCATCTTCTCCTCGTACGAGGAGTCTCAACTTCCACTGCAGCCACCCCCCTGCACGCTACGCCGCATGCCACTCGCGTGACCAGCAGCACCTTTTACAGTGGCTCTGGACGAGGAGGGAGAGGGACGGGATAGAGAGGGGAGGGAGGAGCGGCGGACAGAAAGGGGGCCGCGTGGGATTGACGGATACGGCTTCCTCTATTCCCTCCGCCGCATGACACCCACACCACCCCCAGCACCATGAACAGGGGCTCTCGCAGAGGGCGGGGAGGGATGGGAGAGAGAGGGGAGTGAGATGAAGGATGACTGCTATGCTTAGCTATCCTCCGCCACACGACATGTATTCCACACCACACCCAGCACCATGAACATGGGCTCTCGCAGAGGGAGGGGAGGGATGGGAGAGAGCGGGGAGTGAGATAAAGGATGACTGCTATGCTTAGCTATCCCTCCGCCGCATGACACCCACACCACCCCCAACACCATGAACATGGGCTCTCGCAGAGGGAGGGGAGGGATGGGAGAGAGGGGGGAGGGATGGGAAGGATAACTGCTGCGATTTACGATCACTCCGCCACATGACACCCACCCCACCACCAGCACCATGCACAGGAGCTCTGGTTGAGGTAGGGGAGCGATGCACGAGTGAGAGGGGAGAGAGGGGGGATACAATAGTCAGAGCGAAAGACGGGAGAGTAGGCACATTGAGAGGGCACCGTTCGCCCAGCGCGAGGGTCCATGTTCTCCTCGTACGAGGAGTCTCAACTTCCACTGCAGCCACCCCCCTGCACGCTACGCCGCATGCCACACGCGTGACCAGCAGCACCTTTTACAGTGGCTCTGGACGACGAGGGAGAGGGACGGGATAGAGAGGGGAGGGAGGAGCGGCGGACAGAAAGGGGGCTGCGTGGGATTGACGGATACGGCTTCCTCTATTCCCTCCGCCGCATGACACCCACACCACCCCCAGCACCATGAACAGGGGCTCTCGCAGAGGGCGGGGAGGGATGGGAGAGAGAGGGGAGTGAGATGAAGGATGACTGCTATGCTTAGCTATCCTCCGCCACACGACATGTATTCCACACCACACCCAGCACCATGAACATGGGCTCTCGCAGAGGGAGGGGAGGGATGGGAGAGAGCGGGGAGTGAGATAAAGGATGACTGATATGCTTAGCTATCCCTCCGCCGCATGACACCCACACCACCCCCAGCACCATGAACATGGGCTCTCGCAGAGGGAGGGGAGGGATGGGAGAGAGGGGGGAGGGATGGGAAGGATAACTGCTGCGCTTTACGATCACTCCGCCACATGACACCCACCCCACCACCAGCACCATGAACAGGAGCTCTGGTTGAGGTAGGGGAGCGATGCACGAGTGAGAGGGGAGAGAGGGGGGATACAATAGTCAGAGCGAAAGACGGGAGAGTAAGCACATTGAGAGGGCACCGTACGCCCAGCGCGAGGGTCCATGTTCTCCTCGTACGAGGAGTCTCAACTTCCACTGCAGCCACCCCCCTGCATGCTACGTTGCATGCCACACGCGTGACCAGCAGCACCTTTTACAGTGGCTCTGGACGACGAGGGAGAGGGACGGGATAGAGAGGGGAGGGAGGAGCGGCGGACAGAAAGGGGGCCGCGTGGGATTGACGGATACGGCTTCCTCTATTCCCTCCGCCGCATGACACCCACACCACCCCCAGCACCATGAACAGGGGCTCTCGCAGAGGGCGGGGAGGGATGGGAGAGAGAGGGGAGTGAGATGAAGGATGACTGCTATGCTTAGCTATCCTCCGCCACACGACATGTATTCCACACCACACCCAGCACCAGGAACAGGGGCTCTGGAAGAGCTAGGCGAGGGATGGGAGAGAGGGGGGAGGGATAGGAAGGATTACTGACACAATGAGCTATCCTTGCGCCGCGTGCCACCCACACCAGCACCAGCACCATGAACAGGGGCTCTGGTTTAGGGTGGGAAGGGATGGGAGAGAGGGGCCAATGGAGGATGGATAACTGCTATGGTGAGCTCTGGGTCGGGGGCAGAATGTGAGAGCATCGTATGCCCAGCGCCACGTCCCTGAAGCGAGGCGTACTGGGAATGCCTATCCCACTGCAGACATGCCACTATCACTGCGCATAATGCCACAAACACGCTTACCAGCAGCAAGAGGGGTTGAGAGAGAGAGCTGCAGCTATCACTGAGCCCCATGCCACACATTGTTTAACACTAAAACAATCTCACCTTCAGCAGCTTGGGTGTGGGCATCCCACGCGTTCGACGGACCGCTACGTCTACCGTCGCTGGGCTTTCTGGCGCCACGTCTGGATCGAGGCCCCCTATAGATGGGCCGCTCGACAGAGATGCTAGAGGAGGAGGCCTAGATGGAGGGGTGCAGGGCTTGACAGCTCCTTTTGATCCTGGCCTTGCCTTGAGTGCAGCGATTTCGCGATCCCGCTGGGCAAGCTCTCGCATGAGTTGCTCCACAGTCCTGCCGCCAGCCACATCCGGCCGACTGGATGCGCCAGGTGTGCCCATGCTCTCTCCCCTCCCCTCCTTAGTCGCTGGATCCATTTTCTCGTCCCCCCCTTCTCCCCTGCTCTCCCGTATATCCCACATGGAGCCTTCCACACCGCCGCCACATTCACCCAAGGCATTCGCCCACACACCTCCCAGACTGTCATTCGCTGCTGCAGCTACCGAGGGTTCGTGCCGCTTCGTTGCCCCCTCGTTCTTCACATGAACCGCGCGACCCCCCATATGGTTGGGGGGCGGGTCCGTCGCTTCTTTGCCAAACCGCGCTGACCCCCAAGCCATCTGATCTCCCTTCCCAGCCGAACCCCTCGGATCGCGTAACGCAGCGTACGGGTCCGCGGCTTGCCGTTCATGAGAGCTTGATGGACATCGTCTCCCCATTGATTCGTAAAAATTCAACCCCCGCTTCACCTTGCTACGCACACCCACTATTTTAGCTTCGAATCGAGGTCTCTGGCGCTTGCCTTGTGGTTTGGCACGACGCACACTCTGTTTACAGATCTTTACCCGTCCCCTCTCCGACTTTTGCTTAGCGTTGCCCTTTTTGAGCTTCCTCACACTCCTCCTCTGCAAAGGCCGAGCCTCCTCCCCATCCTCGCTCTCCGGCTCCAACTCCTCATCATCCTCGTCCTCCTCCTCCTCAACCTCATCCTCGTATACCTCCTCACTCCCGGATGAGCTGCCCGACTCACTGTCGCTCGAATCTTCCTCGAAACCAGACGAGCTCAAAACGTGCACATTGGGGCCGCGCCGAGCTTGTCTCGCCTTATGGTCGCAACTGCCCGGATCCACAGCCTTGCGCCGTTGGTAGGGAATCACAGCTTCACGTCCACCTTTCCCATCAGTCACAGCTGCTGGCTCGTCCTCATCATGATCGTTAACGCCACGGCATGCAGGCACGGCATGATCCTTCTCGTCGCCACCATCCGCATCCTGCGTCTGCCTGCCCGAGGGACCGCCCTTAGCCGCGGCAGCCCTGCCGCCGTTGCGCATGCTGCCACCACGAGCTTCCGGCTCGGCATGATCCTTATCGTCGCCACCATCCGCATCCTGTGAGCCCGAGGGACCGGCCTTGGCCGCGGCAGCCCTACCGCCGTTGCGCATGCCGCCACCACGAGCTTCCTGCTTGGCATGATCCCCCTCGTCGCCACCATCTGCATCCTCCGACTGCCTGCCCGTGGGACCGCCCTTAGCCGCGGCAGCCCTGCCGCCGTTGCGTATGCCGCCACCAGTAGCTTCCGGCTCAGCATGATCCTTCTCGTCGCCACCATCCGCATCCTGCGAGTCCGAGGGACCGCCCTTGGTCGCGGCAGCCCTGCCGCCGGTGCGCTTTCCGCCACCACGAGCTTCCGGCTCGGCATGATCCCCCTCGTCGCCTCCATCCGCATCCTGCGACTGCCTGCCCGAGGGACCGCCCTTGGCCGCGGCAGCCCTGCCGCTGTTGCGCTTTCCGCCACCACGAGCGCGTTGGCCTGCCGTCCCATCTGCGAAGGCGGACATGACAGGTACATAAGATATAAACAATATATAGGAAGTTGCAGCATGACATGTGGCGTCATTGTTATGAGTAACGTGCAAAATATAAAGCGTCGATATCACACCCACAGCGTACCTAAGCTGTCAGGTCCCCCGTCTTTGCCCTCCTCGTCGCCTTCACACGCAGGCGTTTCCTCACGATGTGAACGAGTGCCTCTTTTTCTTGGACGGTGCTTACGGCCCCCCCGGTTGTCTCGCTTGTCCGCTATCGCTGATGTGGAAACACAATTGGAGAGACGATAACCTCCAACAGGTCAGACACGACTACAAGCATCAATTCATGCATACAAGTAGAATATTCCGCATCTGCGACCATAAACACATACCTTTCTGGCCGCCTTTGGGAACGAGATCATCTAAGCGCTTCACGCGCTTATCCCTTGGTTTCGAAGGGGATGATATGCCCTTGTTTGCGTATGGCTCCACCTCGCAGTCGCTATTCGATTCGTCACCGGATGACGAGACACGTCTGGCCCCAACAACATCTCGCGACGTCGACGCATTATTTTTGCGATACTCGATTACGAGCTCGGCCGTCTTATCTGCTGTTACTAACTCGCCAAAGTTTGTTTCGTCGGGGGTTTTAGTCGATTCAGCCAGTACGATCGCCCCCTCGGGCCCCTTCATTGTCTGATTTCCTTGTTACCATGTCTAGCTTTCCATTCACGCAGTACTATGAGGTTGCGGGTTGTGCTAACGCCTAGAACCTGACAGCAGTCTACGAGCATAAGAAATTGGTTGAGGAGGGTGAGGGACGAGGCAAAGTCTGGGGCCTAGAGCAGGCGATCGTCACATCTGGAGGCATGCAAGGGGAGCACGGAGGTGATGAGGGTTTGAGTGTTTCCTGCTATGGTGCACGTTGCGACTGCCAGGTCCCCCATTTCCGCCCTCAACCAATCGCCTGAGGGTTGAGGGGTATAAAGGAAAAAAATGCAGCACTGCCGTGTTAAGATTCCGTGGGACCTAACGTGCTTAATTGAGTATCAGTCCACAAGCGGCAGGGTGGGCTTTTTTTTGTTAAACCCGACAGTCAAATGCGCTACTGTATCTGGGTTCGCGAGGGTCATAATTATTCTGCCCGGGTTGTCGTACTATTTACAAATAAGTGCCTCGCGTGCCACACAAACCTACACAAGCTGGCACGTCAAGAGTCACATAGGGTCTGCGGAGAAACGGCGACGCTCGATCGCAGCAAGTCGTACAGCGATGCGACAGGTCGACACGAAGCCGTTGCGGCACGTCTGCGATAAAAACGCAGACTCAAAAGTTCCTTGTGTGTGGTTGCGACTGGTTCGCAAATCAGGGAGGTTCGCGTACGTGGCATAGCGTGGAGTCGAGTGGAATGGCGCAGGGCGGGGCACGTAATGGCACATTAGTTTGCAAAGCCTCAATAGTGTGGTGTACCTACATGTTAAGAGTGGAATTAGGGGGTTATGCAGTTGTAAGCAAAATCTCGTTTTCCTTACTTCGCATCCCTGCTAAACGCGTCCATCACTGTAGCACCTCAGTCATCACCGTTACCACTCGCATCGACAATCCGCCCGCCACTTTCGCACGTCGCACCCCGACCTCACGGCCAGGGCTGACGATATCAGGGTAATTACCCTGATTTCAGGGTGATTACTGGCTTACGACTTGGTGGTCCCTGCAAACACAGGTTGTGTATTTTGTGAACTCTGGTGCTATCAGAGTAGATACTTAACGGACTCTGAATTCTTGTAACTAGGCTCAGGGTAGTGTACATGCCGACTCTGTCCATGCAGAGTATGCGTAATAATGACAAAGGACACCACTTACGTGCTGTACATCACAGCTGGCAACCACGCCAACGCAGCCAACTCAATGAGACGGTGCAGCCACGCGCACCGCACAGTGCACAGCATGAATCTGCCATTGGCCAGAATGGCCTGTAGACAGCATGCGGTGGCAGCCAAGGAGTCCTTGAATGAATTCGGCCTTGAATGCAAGGACGAATTCATCTAGGAATGTTGCCATCAAGTTCGTGGAATCGCGGCGCGGTGGTTTCGTGCTCCCGCCATCTCCAACCTCCCCTTCCCTCCCCATACCAGCAGCCAACGTTCCTTTGTTCACTAGTGTGTTATTTCCATTACGTGCCTTCATTGTCCCATTTTTCTCTCGTTCAAAGGGTTTACTAACAAACCATAATATTTGTTCTCTGCTTTACACAGTGAGGCGTTGGCTGTGAAGGACGCCGCTGAGTCAAACCCGGATCTCGACATGGTCGACAAGGTGGTGCGCACTGTGGCAACTCTGCTCGGAAACTCCAGCGTGTGGAGTCAGCGGTTCAAGTACCTGCAGCGTGTGCTTTACAAGACCAACCTGGAAGTCCAAGGCATACACACGGTGTGGTGGCTGTCTCGAGGAGATGCGGTGGCCAGGCTGTGCAAGGTCCTCGGCGCTTGCATCGTTCTGCTCTGGGAGCACAATCACAAGGCGTACGAGACTGTTACCTGCTACAAGTTTCAGTTCTGCTTGTTTTTCTTGGCCGACATCTTGGCGGACATGAACGACCTCAACCGCTGCTTCCAGAGACGAGAGGTGAGGTCGCATGTTTGTATGATGTTGCTACGTGAGGTTCGTAACTGCACTGTTGCTCATCCTTCTCCCTTTTGTCTACCTCTGCTCTGCCACAGCTGGACGTGACAGAGATTGCGAAGATGATCGAGTCCACAACGAGTGACCTGGTGGAGCGCTACTTGACGCCAGAGAAAGCTTACGAGCTCGGAGGGAAGAGCTGGCTGGTGAACTTCCACAAAGTCCACAAGGAGGGTGGAGGCAAGCAGGTCCGGGTGCGCGGCGTGGACGGTGCTGGGCGCCCTATCAACCACCTGTACACCATGCATGAGCGGAAGCTGAAGGGGCACAAACACGGAAGCACCTACGCAGACTGCGTGAAGCTGTGCCGCATATTTGCCCGTGACTGCGTGGACAACCTCACCAACGGACTGGATGAACTTGGGAAGCTGGGGCCGACGAAGCTGTTCCGGGCGGGCAAGTGGCCGAAGATCAAGGCCCAGCAAGAGAAGAAGTGTAAGGAGTGGCTGAACGGGTGCAGCAAGTTGTTCCGCAACAAGCTGCCGGGATTTGACATCAAAGCAGCAGAGAGGGAGCTTCCAACCTTCAGCGCGATCATGGAGGCACACCATGAGATGGAGAGCTTCACCCAGGGCCTGTCCAACTTCCTTGGGAGCGCAGAATCCAAGAGGTAGCCTTTACTCTGCGTCCATGGGTTTTACAATCTTGTAGATTGCTAACTAATTCCATTGTGTCGCATGTGCCTGGCAGGAGATGGCCCAACCTCATCATGCTGTGGCAGGCGCTGGCTGTGCTCCCTCTCTCCACCGTGGAGTGCGAGAGGGGGTTCTCCAGGCAGAACGTCATCAAGTCCTGGGCGCGAGGAGCGCTGTGTAACGCGCCTCTGGGGGAGCTGATGCAGATATCGCTCCTCAAGTATGAGATCGACTGGCCGGAGGCACTGGAGGTGTGGAGGTCCCTGCGTACTAGGCGCCCTGCGAAGAGCTTGAAGCTGGCTGTAGCAGAGAGGGAGAGGAAAGGGAAGCAGAAGGAGGGTGAAGATGTGGCTGCTCGAAATGCCTGGGAGAATGAGGATGAGGAGGAGGAGGAGGAGGACGATGAAGTGGAACAGGCCTTTGACGACGATCAAGAGATTGTGGGGGAGGAGGAAGTGGAGGACAGTCCATTCCTGTCGGACGATGAGGATGTGGAGGAGGTGTACTGCATAGACAAGCCCGTGCACTAGACTAGATAGAGTAGGAAACTGCATGCACTTGTCTTATTTAGGAAAATAGTGCATTGTTAATAGCAATCCTTCGCTAAGTTGTACCTTTTTCCCGATAGTGCAATCCTCGTTCGCTCACTCAATTGCACTCGTAATAGGTGTCCCCCTAACCCATTAGCATAGTGTCAAGTATGCAACATAACAGTGTAAAACCAAACACCACCTTCACAGAACATGCACATAATGATCTGCGGTGGAGCAGTCATTCTGATACATCGAATGATTAGTAAGTACGCATTATTTGATTGCTGCCTGGTCGTTATGCAACGCGTATGGGCATGTCTCCTCTCATGCCAATTGAGGTGCAATAATACGGTAATAGAGCCAGACACAAACTCCCCGTATGGGGCATGGCTGCTATCATGCCATACAGGGCAACCTTTATGCAGGGACCCAAGACCATGCTGTGTTGTATGTTCTAGGTTCATGCTGGAACGGAGTTGAGAAACCCCTGCTGTTCTACCCACTAGAGTTGTGGCGACATGCAGGTATGTTTTGCAGCATCACACAGACCCATTGTGTATTGTTTGTATACATGTCAAGCAGGAACGCCAGTGACAAACAATTCCCTACGGGTAGTGTTCTCTAGACATGGAGGACTGGTTGTGGCCAACACTCTCATTTGGCCACACTTGTTGTCAAGTCATGCAAGACTGATTCAAGGCCTCTCCATTGCGCTTTGTGTCATGTTTGTTGGCTTATCAAGCTGGCAGGACGGATGAACAAACAATTCCGTATTGATCTTGTCCACATTCCCCCATGATACCCGCTTCCATGTTCTTCACTCACACACTTATTCCTCCCACGTACCCGCCTCACCCCCTCCTGCTTCCCGCCTCATTACCTCTGCTTCCTGCCTCATGTCCCCTCGCTTCCGGCCTCATCCCCCCTTGCTACCCACCCCATTCCCCCTTGCTTCCCACCCCATTCTTCACTGCTACCCTCCTCATTCTCCCTTGATACCCTCCCCATTCCCCCTTGCTTCAGGCCTCATTCTCCCTTGCTTCAGGCCTCCTTCCCCCTTGCTTCGGGCCTCATACTCCCTTGCTACCTCCCTCATTCCCCCTTGCTTCAGGCCCCAATCCCCCTTTGCTTCCCGCCTCATTCTCCCTTGCTACCCCCCTCATTCCCCTTTGCTTCCCGC